CAATCTGAGTTTGATCCCTGGATTCTCCATGGTAGAAGGCGAGAATTAACTTCCATAAGTTGTCCTCTGACCTCCATGTGTTTTTATGCATGTATACACACACACACTTTCGAAAGGAACATGGGAAATAGGTCAGCCAGTAAGAGTGATGGTTGTACAAGCATGAAGACTGGAATTCAGACCTCTGACACCCACGTGAAAAACACAGGTATGGTCCCATTCTTACTGGGGCTTGATGGTCACAAGCCTGCTTCCAGATTCAGTGAGATATCCTTTCTTGAGGAAAGAGACAGAATGATAGGGTACTCTCTTCTGGCCTCTTCAAGTGCACACAGGCATACACACCCAAACACACATGTGCACGTATACTACTTGTACACGTTGAAGTTAAACACCAGCCCTTTTTCTTGAGTTTAGGACAATCTTTCTCCCCACTTGTAGCTTCTTAAACAAGCCATTGTTGTCTGGTTATTATTTCCCTGAATTTTAATGTGAACTGTAAGCAATCATTTGGGACCTTGACTTTATGTGAGATGAACATAAGGTATAAATGAATGAGGAGAAACAGTCTTGAGGGGCCAGAATGGAAGAGGATGAGTCAAGAGGCTCTTGTGACCATGCAGGTAAAATAATGAAGATGGCAACTAGTGGCAACACAACACAGGTGAGGGGAAGTGGAATTTGAAAGACAGCTGTTTGGTGGACATTAACTATCAGAGCCACGAGAAACCCAAGCACTCTTCTGACCCAACACCACCACCATACACACTTCGAAGGTGAAGTTCAGGGAACACAATCTTCTTGTTTAAGGTTGCACTGGCCATGGCAGGAGAAGCAGGATCTTGATGTTTGTTGCACTGCTGTATACTATTTCTACTGCATTTTTAATTCTAGTAAGCCTTGTACATAAAAAAATAATCTGTGCTAGGTGTGGTGCACGCCTTTAAACCCAGCACTCAGAGGCAGAGGTAGAAGGACCTCTGACAGTTTGAGGCCAGCCTGGTCTACAGAGTAAGTTTCAGGACAGCCAGAGCTACATAGAGAAACCCTGTCTCAAAAGACAGTGGGGGCGGGGGGACCTGAAATCGGGACTTGTCTTACAATGACATGTCTGATTATTTGGCAATTTTTGTTTCTTCACTGGCACATTAATACTCCAGAGTATCTTGAGTAATGAGTGTGACACCTAAAAAGGCTCAGTGGATTCCAGAATTGGACCCAGTGAAGGTTGAAATTCACAGTCCACTTCCTGACCTAGCTCACTGTTTCTGGATGTTCTCTCACAAGACCATCAGTTCTGATTCTAGGCCTTCTTTGATGGGAGAAAACGTTGGTCTTAAAATGTTGTTCTAGGCTTGAGGAGCCCAGAGACTAACCCAAGGAGTTGACACTCTGATGCAAAAGCAAAAGGTTTTTTTTTTTTTTTCAATCTGGCCAGCTAGGATCTCACTGCATGGCAGCCAAATGAGATCCCAACCAGCCCAAAAGAGAAGCTTTTAAAGGGGCAGACTATAAGGTTAAAGGCCACAGATTTCAGAGTTTCCATGGTTACTTCAGGTCATACAAAGTACAGAGTAAAGCAGTAGCTATATATTTTAAGGGAGATACATTTGAGTGAGATAAGATAGGGCATGGGCTTGCAGGGTTACAAGGTCACAGGGTCTGTCAGTGATTCCCCTGGGCTGGGGGATCTTTATGACCAGCAATTAGCAAAGGAATGTTAACAGGAGTGGTAGACAGCTACCTCCCCTTCTCTGAGAGCAGGGGCTCAGGTGCCAGCCATGGCACTCCTGATTTAAGGTGTTAAATTTTCCTTTACCATTAGAAGTTCCCTTTTCAGGGCCCAAGTTCTTAAACCTTTATTAATTTTAATTTTTGGTTCCTGAAAAAGAGCGTAGGAACACAGCTTGGTCTGTGTTGGTTTAGGGTAATCTGGGATGAGATTTTGGGCTAATGGCTACTTTTTAAATAAAAAATCCCAACTCCTAGAAGGACCAAGGGAGCCTGTAGGTCTAAATCTATGCACTCATCCTTCACCCTCTCCCGGCTCTAGGGGCGGAGCCAGTCCCATGAACTTGCCCCTCAGGGCTCTCTCAACCCTGACTCCACCAGTTCCTCTTGTGACAGCTGCCCACTCCGTTTCTGCGCCATAATCTCCGCCCTCTCTCAGGGCCCCGCCCCCTTCTTCGTAGTCCCCGCCCCCTCCCTTTGGAGGGCGGGCGGCAGCGGCGGGAGGGGGCCAACATGGCAGTGGATCAGAGCCATACAGTGGACCGCCGTGGGGCCACCATCCCTCGTGGCGAAAGGTGCCTGAAGGGACTTCCAGGCTGCTGTCGAGGAGGGAGGAGATGCTCAGGAGTACACTTGCGTGCTAGAAAGCCCTCCGCGAATCAAGGACTTTCCCGCCCTTCCCGGGCACGTTCCTCTGAGCCCCGCCCCTGACATTTGAGGGCATGCGCGGGCATTCCAGGAGCCGTAGGCACATGCGCATGCACAGGGCGGGCCTCCCCAGAAAGGCCTGAGCGAGGGACGTGTGAAGTGCAGGTCGGCCCTTGGATCGCGTGGCATGGCCGCCATCTGACAGTGTGTGACTGTCACCCAGAGGGCCCTGGGTGCACTTAACACGACCCACGGGAGACGAATTGGAAGACAGGCTAGCATGTGGAGTGTAGATAATTGTAGAAAGATCCCGAAATGTTGAGAGCCTTCCTCAGAATTTCTCCAAAGCTCCCTTTCCTTGATGCTTCAACCTGGGATATGACAGTGTCACCTTTATTGAAAAGTTTGGGAACAAAAGTAGGGGTGTCCAGGAAGAATGGCTCACTCAACCTCTTACGACCTGGGGCTTGCCATCTCCAGGCAAACTTAAGACCTTGACCCCAATCCCTTCTTTAGTCTACCCCTCACCTACTTTCCTTACACTGTGTCTTCACCTCTTCTGGATAATCTGCTCATTTCCCTTTATTTCCCACCTAGCAGTGAGATTCAAATTCAATGGTGTGCTCAAATAGAACTCTGAGGTCAGTTCAATGCCAGCCTGGTCTACATAGCAAGTTCTAGCACAGCCAGAGCTATATAATAGAAAGACCCTGATTTTTTGTTTTTGTTGTTGTTCCTTTGAAGTTTTAGAATCTGTGCTCTTGACTATGTACTGATAGTTTTCATTCAACAGCTAATTATGCAAGCATTGTTCTTTGTGCTACTAACTGCTGTGTCTGCAATGAGGATTAGAACTATTTCTCTCATTTCACAGGTAGGAATATAAGAAATAATTTGCTCAGAATCATTTTCAGCGCATATGGGAAAGCCTGGATTTGGATTTGAAATTATACGCATCAATTTCTCTTGCTGTCCTTCAGAAAAAAAAAAATGTTTTCGATTTCTTGCTATTAAAGACCCTGTTGGTTATCTGGTTTTCCCACATATACAAATTGCTTTTAAGAAAATAGTTTTGGGGGCGGATTGGTTCTATTTTTAGTTTTCCTTATAGTAATGATACACTTTTGAGAGTTTAGTTACAATTTGTGGTGTGTTGAGTGTGTTGAGACTTGAGTCTTAGCTAGGGCTGGCCCTGAACTTGTGACTCTTCTGCCTCAGCCTCCCAATGAATGCTTGTAGTAATTAAACAACTACAACAAAACAACCCAGAAAATACTAGATTTGGGGTTGAGCAAGGATTTATTTACACTGGAATACCAACCATTGGCAATAATAATATAGATACTGACATTAAAAAAAATCCCCATTGTATTGGTAAATGAAGAAAATAAGTTACAGAGAGTTTGGGGAAGCACATGTTTCAGCGATGAGGAATTTAATGGCTAAAGTTAAAGTGTTTTGTTTGTATCTTGCATTGGTGCAGCACATGTTAAACAGTCCAAATCTAAAAACCTAAAATGCTTCATTGAAGCCAGATGTGATGGTGCAAGTTTGCTGGGATTACAGATCTATGCTGCCATACCTGGCTTGTAGAGAATTTGTCACCATGACTGAGAGATCATAAATGTATGGGCCAGACTGTGGTATAAAAATGGAGAAGATTCAATTGTTTGATTTTATCATTTTTTTAAAAAATTGGGCAGATGATATTTGATGTCACAGTAGGAAAATCAGAGAAAAAAAATTGATTACCCAAATTCCAACATTTAATAGTTTTTGCATCTTAGTATGGCTTTCTCTGAACTTTTCTATGGAAACACACACTTGTTTTCCCTCTTTCCACCAGCTTTGTAGCTAGTTTCCCTCATTTGCCAATATATTGGGGGCAGTTTCCAGTACCCACATCTATATTAGCCAATGTCTAGCACTCCAGTGCCCATAAATCTTTGTTTCATTATCAATATGAGCTATTCCGAGGCTGTTTTCTTTATTTATGTTACTGTTTGGAAATTTAAAAAAAAATAAAATTACATGTGTGTGCATGTGTACATGTGCACATACCACAGCACATATAGAAGTCATAGGACAACCTGTGGGAGTCCTCTCACCTTCTACCATGTGGCCCCAGGGATCAAACTTAGTTCACCAGGCTCAGTTGCAAGTGCCTTTACTCATGGATCCATCTTGCCAGTCCTTGCTTGAAGATGTATCTTTATCAGTCTATCAAATGTGTCTTTGATGCTGATACCATACCTGACTCTGTGCCTTACCTGTGATGCCAAAGATGCTGTGAGAGGCAAGGAAGAACCCGGGTTGAGACTCTCTTCTGGTGTCCTAGTCCTACCCCATGTGAAGAAACCAGTAGTGACTTGGTTCTAGTAATGGCACAATTTAAGCATCCAATTTGCCCTTTCAGCCAACAAAATTTGCTGGTTATTTTCCAAGTGTAGTAAATTGTGAAGGTCACCATATTGAAAGACAAAGATACTAAGAACTGTGAAGGAACTGCATTTATCTGACTTGGATAAAAGTTACACCAGAGCAATAAACAAGCCGTTATTTGATGGATGATAAAGGTAAGCGTCACTATCAACAATAGAGTAGAGCAGTACCTGAGTTCATCTGAGGGTGAAACTACTTTGAATATCAGTTAGAGGCTGTGGAAGAAGGGAACCTTCAGGTTATTTCTGTCCTAGAAATATGCTAGAATCATGTCAGCCTCCAAAAAAAGCCTCCAAGGAAAGAAAGCAGAGAAATTCATATGAAGGGAAGATCCTGCTCAGTCAGGCCAAGGCATCTCAACAAACAAAAACCAAAGAAGATGAATGTAAAACCAGTGCAAAGGTCCCTCAGGATCAGACTCAAGATGCCTAAGGATAAAGGAAGACCTTAGGGCCTGGTGTTGTAATTGTGTTAGTATCACTAAAATAAAGGTCTCATGGAGTACAAAGTTCAGCGGGGCAAAAACTAGAGATTCCTTGAGCTTAAGAACACCTACTACCACATAGTTTTTTAAAATATAAAATAGTTCCTAGGAACAATTTTAAGAACTTTAAAGTGTTATGTTTCTATCATGTCTTCTTCCAGTGCAGGCTGAACATCCCTGATCTGAAAATCCAAAATATTAAATGCTCCACTAAATTCAGGTGTGGTAGGGTTGGAGACAGGTTAAGAACATATCCTGTTCTGCTAGAGGATCAAGTTCAGTTCCCAGAACCTACACTAGATGGAGCACAATTGCCTATAACTCCAGCTCCAGAGGGCTCTGGCCTCCAAGGGTACCTACAGACATGCATATGTCCCCATTTCCCACAGAGGACATGCACACAATTAAAAAAATTATTCTGGGTGTGGTGGTTCATACCAGAAAGTAAAACTACCTTGAAAATTACAGCACTCAGGTTGATGTAAGAGGATTGTGAGTTCCAGGACAGCCTGGGCTATATAGGCAGACCCTTTCTCAAAAACAAGACCTTCCAGCCTGGTCTACAGAACAAGTTCCAGAACAGTGAGAGCTGTTATACAGAGAAACTATGTCTCAAATAAAACCCAAAAAACCCCAACCCTTTGAGTACCTCCAAATACCTTATCTGGAAAATTTCACTCCATGATACTTTTGTTTTATGCATAACATTGTTTAAAATATTATATGAAGTTATGTTCAGGTTACAAATGAATGTCACATTTAGACTTGAGTCTCATTTCCCCCAAATATCTTGTATATGCAAGTATTCCAAAACCCAAAACTATTCAGATCCTAAATCTTTCATTAAGAGATACTCAAGTTATACTAAAAAATCAAGTCTTGTCAGTAACTAACCTTGATTTAATTTTAATGAAAGCAGGAAAACAATATCACACTAATGCTCTTGTCATCCCATTATAAAAGCTTTATTAGTGTTTGACTGGTTTATGTGAGAATTTTTGTGTTTTGTGGTGATTTGAATGAAAATGGCCCCCATAGGCCATGGGGACTATTAGGCACTATTAGGAGGTATAGCCTTGTTGGAGGAAGGGTGTCACTGGAGGTGGGCTTTGAAGTTTTAGAAGTCCAAGCTTCTCAAAGTGTCACTCTTTCTGCTGCCCATTGATCCAGATCTAGAACTTTCAGCTCCATCTCCAGCACCACGTCTGCCTATGTGCCACCATGCTTCCTACCATGATGACAATGGACTAAACCTCTCAACTGTTAAGCCAGCTCCAATTGAATGCTTTCCTTTATAAGAGTTGCCATGGTCATGGTGTCTCTTCATAGCAATAAAACCCTAAGACTTTTTTTGAGATTTATTTTTATTTTTGTATGGGTGTTTTGCCTGCATTTATGTCTGTACTGTGTATGTGCAATGCCTTTGGAGGCCAGAAGATGTAGAATCCTTTGGGATTGTAGTTACAGATGGTTGTGAACTACTGTGTGGGTACTGGAAATCAAACCTAGGTTGTCTCCAAGAGCAGTAAGGGCTCTTAACAACTGAGCCATGTCTCTAGCCCTGTTTTTTTTTGTTTCTGTTTTCTTCTTGTTTGTTTGCTTGTTTTTGAGACAGGGTTTCACTACAGAGTCCAGTGGATCATCATATAAGCCAAGGATGAAAGCCTTGAACTCTATGTCTGTATTTGAGCATTTGGGCTAGCTGATGTGCATGCATGTGTTTTTCTGAGGAGTGCAGTGGTGTCCTCTTCACTCTCCTAATTTTCTGAGGCAGGATCTCTCACTGACCCTATTTGAGCTAGACCAGTGAACAAACTCCTGTGATCTGCCTGTCTCTCCTTCCCAATGCTGGGATTACAGGTGCATGTATTTTGCATGGATGCTGGAGACTTGAACTCAGGTCTTGTTGCTTTCACAAAAAGTGCTCTTATTCACTGAGCTATCTCTTTATCCCTCTTGAACTCTTTATCCTCTTGCCTCATCTTCCCAAGTTCTGGTATCAGGTATGTACTACCATGCCCAGCAGGTAGTCAGAGAGTTTTATTCATTTATATTTAATGTAGTTGTTAAAGGACTTAACATCTTCAATTTTGCTATTGTATTCTACACATTTCCCTCCTTTGTGTTCCTTAACTCCTTTACTATTGCCTATTGTATCTGAGATTTGCCCTAGTATACCATTTAATTCCATCCTCATTTCTCTTTTGGATGTAGTTTAGTGATTTAATTTTTTGTGTGTTCTGTTGGTTATACTTAACAACCTTAATTTATAGTAACATAACTCAAATCAGTACCAACTTACTTTCAATAATATACAAAATCTTTTGTCCTATGTAACTCTGCTCACTCCCAAAACTTCACTGTCACAAATTATAGTTTTATATAGTATCACTATAAATGTATAATTATTTTATGATCTTAACTGATCTTTTCAGTTATATCCCCCCTTCCTCAGTCATGTAACCTCCCTGCTGAAAAATCTAGAGCTTGCAGTTTTTCTTGCCTGTCCAGTGAGTTCCCAAGCTCAAATCCCAGACAGCTTTCCAAGCTGGTCTTGCTGTTCTCCCCAGTGTTACTCACGCTGTGGCTTGGTTCATCCTTATGGCCCATTTCCTCCCAAGGAGGCAATTTGTGTTCCATTATCTGCATCTCCATGTCCATTAATGCTATTGACTCCCCATTTGAGTTGCTCTTGTACCATTACCCCTGCCTATTTAAATACTACCTATTTCTTAAAAATCAGCTTTATCTGAGTTCTTTCTATGAGATCTTTCCATAATTGTTTCTACCACAGATGATCCCTCCTGCTAAATTACTGGGACATTTCTGTGCCATTTACATGACACATGTCTCCTATCACTTGCATTATGGTCTCTGTCCATGTTTCCTCTCTTTTCCCCTTTTTCATTTTCTTAAAATAAATACTTAGACACTCATACTTTGTGAAGCAGGCAGTTGTCTCAATAATCTTCAGGGAGGACACTGAACAAGTAAACTAAAAAAAAACCCCGAAAACCTAGATTCTGAGTGGGGGGTGCAGGGTGGGTGGGGAGTGGACACTTCTATCTGTGCTTTACTAGCTAAACACCCTGAGAGCCCAGTTCTTCCTAGTTATTACACATGCAATTTGAGAGGTAATGACAAAAGCCGAGAATAGAAGTAAGTTAGAAAAAGACAAAGTCCAGTGATGATAAGGGAGAAGGGGGGGCAGGAGAGATGAGATAATGGGTGAGAGCACTTCTTGCCCTTCTACAGGGCCCAAATTTGGTTCCCAGCACCCATGTTAGGTCGTAATAGTCTGCAAATCCAGTTCCAAGGGACCCAAAGTCCTCTTCCACATACATGTGGCATACTCTCACACAGACACATACATGCATAAACTTACATGTATAAATGAAAGTAAAATCATTTTTTTTTGAAAATGACTATTTTGTGTGTTTGGATGCTTTCCCTGCATGTCTGTTTGCACCGTGTGCATACAGGTCCCTTGGATATCAGAAAAGGGTATCAAATCTCCTGGACCCAGAGTTGCAGACTATTGTGAGCTGCCATGTGAGTGCTGGGAATCAAACCTGGGTCCTCTTCCAGAGTTCTTAACTGGTGAATCACCGCTTCAGTCCAGAGTAGGAGTAAATTGTCCAAGAAATAACAATGTTTGAATCTTTTTCATTTCCCTAAAATAGGAGGAGCAGCTAATATTTATTGACTGACACCTTTGTTTGTACCATTTTGGTGTCTTCTTTGGTGGTGCTGGGGGTCACATTTGGCTTAGCATGTTGTAGGCAAGTACTCTAGCCTAGAGCTGCCTCCCCAGCCCTGTGTGTTGGTTTATGTACTTTTAAACATGTGCTGTCTGCCTTTCTGCAGTCTCTTGAAGAAGTGTTCAGATGTGGACCTCTCCTTCCCTCAGTCACCACCAGGCTCCAACTTCTTCAATGGTACAAAGAGGGGGCCGCTGTTTCTCACCTCATACCGGGTAATTTACACTTTCCTTTTGATTGGCTGGTTAGCTAACATTTGTTTTCCATAAATCTGGAAAAAGAAGTTAAACATTGGCTTTTAAGATGTTTTAAAACATTTTTACTTTGAGACTTCCATTTTGAAGAATGGAAGAAAAGAGATGATGTTTCTCAATTAGGCCACAGTACCCATGTGACATTGGCCTTGCTTCTGCAAGTCTCTATCCATGGACAAATTCTGTATTCCTTTTTCAAGGTTTCCTTCCTTACTTAGGTGATTTTTGTGACTTCACCTTCATACAATGATCCCATGTTGTCTTTTATGATGCCATTTCATCTAATGAGTAACTGCACTGTTGAACAACCAATCTTTGGTGCAAACTACATTAAAGGGACAATTCAGGCAGCTCCAGATGGTAAGTCTTTCCTCTTAGAAGGGCCTTCCCTATGCCCCACAGAAGCTTCCAGAGAGTTTAAGATTCTGACTTGTTTCATGTTAGAATTCAAACCAAAGCTGATCTGCTGGTTTGAGAGTGCATTCCTCAGGGTTTATAAGTATTTGTCATTTCTTGCCCCAGGTGGCTGGGAAGGATCAGCTACTTTCAAAATAGTCTTCAGGAAAGGAGGTGCCATCGAGTTTGCCCAGCTGATGGCCAAAGCGGCCTCTGCTGGTGAGTGATAAACACAGTAAGTGCTTTAGGGGCTAAAGAGTTGAAATAGTGCTATTACTCAGCAGAGCTTGTTTAGCCTGTGCTAATGCATTGGGCACTCCTACATGATTTCAACAAGAGTTCCCAAGTTTACCTGTTATGTGTCAAATCCACACTGTGCTTATTTCCCTTACCCTGGGCCTGGAGTCGCTGGGAGCCTGTAGTCAGACACCTACACGACTAACATAAAACCAGTGGTCTTTTGTGCTGGAGTGACTTGGGAATGAAGAACAGATACAAACATGTACAGAAACGCTGGGATCAGGGGGGCTGTGCTGGTTCTGATGGGGGCAGCACCAGCCTGGGGCTCTGAAACTCTGTGTTTATGTAAACAATACAAGAGGAGAGTTTGGGTAGGTCTAGATATGGGAGCAGTCTCAGGCTATGAACACCTGGAGGAGGATGTTCCAGTGGGTTCTTTCTGTACACTCACCAGTGTTTGTACTTGGACCAGAGGAATTCTTTGTCAATTCCCCAAGCCTAGCCTGGGGAAGGCTATGTCACCTGTATTTTGGTCTTCTCGCCTTGCCTTGTCCTTGTTTCTCTTCTGTTTGTTCTTACTGTCCATGAAAAGGAATAGAAGTCCCAACTGTCCTACAATATTGACCTCATGGCTGTACCAGAGAATGCTCACTGTGGCTGACACTTTATGCTGTTTCTATTCCACCTAACTCCACTTCATGCCACTCTTTTGCAATCCAATCAAGCTGCACTTTGTGCCTTGTGCACTCTTCTCTTGAGTTGTCATTTTGTTCTGTCAGGAAGACTCCTTCCCTTTCTTTTTTGTTTTCCACCTCAAACCCCAATCTAGATGTTGAAAGCACAGCCTAATAAAGATTATTTGCAGCTATGTATATATTTGCTTTGATAGAAGCATTGCATATGGTGCCCCAGATAAGATGGAAGAGTATAAAGTGTCTAGGTTAGTACAGTGAATCAATGATGATGCTGTATATCATGGTCAAGATCCATCATCAGTGTAAGTTTGAAAGTAAATGAGTTCACTTTAAAAACAGGTAATTTATTTAGCACTTTTTAATGTTTTTACAACCTTCGTTTTAATGCTCATAAAACCTTATGATATAGCCGGGTAGTGGTGGCACACACCTTTAATCCCAGCACCCCAGAGACAGAGGCAGGTGGATCTCTGAGTTTGAAGCCAGCCTGGTCTACAGAGTGATTTCCAGGACACACAGAGATACACAGAAAAACCCTGGCTTGAAAAACAAACAAAACCCCTTGATAGCTGGGAAACCAAGTAAGTGATGGTTATATAGTGAGTACTGTATTAGGCCCTAAATAACCACAGGCAATGAGACAAATTTTCTGCTCTCAAGAAGTATGTGGTTTAAGAAAAGGGCCACATTATTGTTTATTTGGTATCACAGGAATATTGTTGGCTCACATATAAGGTGGTAGTTAATACTGTTACTCAGTTCATAGCTACTATATGTATCTAATTTCAAATAATAAAGAGTTCTTATTTTGCCAAATTGTTTTTTCAGCTGCCCAAGGAGTTCCACTCAGAGTTTCAAGTTTCTGGATGAGCCCTCTAGGAATTTTTGTCATTACTGGGGAGAGGAGCATGCATGCCCCACAGGCAGGCCAAGGTGAGGTGTGGAGAGAGAGGAGCATGTGTGCCCCACAGGCATGCCAAAGTAGGGAGAGATGCCCCTTAGGAGGTGGAAGAGAATGCCATGGACTTGAAGACAGTTCACCACAGCCTTGTTTCAGGTCTGCTTTGAGAGAAGCCCCAGGGTTTGGGGCTTTCATGACTTTGTTTCCTGCTTGAAACCCAATAGTGAGCCAGCAAATGACTGGACTTGCTTTTCAGGTTACGTGTTTATAATTTTGTGTGCTTGAGACAGGGCTGGTCTACAGTTCACTGCTTCAGCCTCCTGAGTGCTGAGGTTGCCTGTGTGCCATGTTTCAGACTTAACTTTGATGATGATGTATGAGCACAGCACATCTAAGCTCCCCGTTAGTGAGAAGCTAGCTTCCCACTTAGAGCCTGAGTAGAAAACATAGCTCTGCACCCTTCATCTCTTACTTTACACTGTCATGGCCATCAAGCCTGCTATGCCTTCCAACTGCACCCTGGGCTTCATGACACGTGCCTTTTAACATTTATCCTGCCTTAGATGGGTAAAGTTGCAGGCTTCGATGAAGACCTGACCTGCTCAATAGAACATGAGCTAGGCACCAGTCCTTTTATTTGTGACATTTTTGGGATAAATGTTACTGATGTGTTAAAAATGATATCTTAAACCCAAGATTAAAAGAAATGTATACATATCCCGCCACATATTGATTATAGGTATCCATGCCCCAGGAACATTTCACTGGACTATAAATGCCTATCAGTCATTTTCACACTTGAAGGCAGACTTGAAACCAAATGAGACTGCAAAGTATCTGAAGGACTATTGGTGAACTGAACACAAAGTCACAGTAACAAGAAAATTGTTATAGTAAAGGTGGAAGTGACAGTTTCCAAGCTCTCTTTTTTGTTTGTGCTTGTTTGATTGGTTTTTTGTTTTGTTTTGTTTATTTTTTGAGGCAGGGTTTCTTTGTGTGGCCCTGGCTGTCCTGGAACTCACTCTGTAGACCAGATCTCACAGAGATCTGCCTGCCTCTGCCTCCTGATTGCTGGGATTAAAGGCATGTGCCACTGTACCTGCTTTTATAATGAGTTTACTGGAGTCAGAGACAGATGGATCTGTGAATTTGATGCCACTCTGGTCTACATACTGAGATCCAGGACAGCCAAGGCTATGTCTCAAGAAAAAACAAACAAAAAAATAGAATAATAAAAGTTTGCTGGAGTTGGGCATGGCTGTGGACGCCTTTAATCCCAGCACTCAGGAAGCAGAGGCATGCAGATCACTGTGAGTTCGAAGCCAGACTACTCTACATAGTGAGTTCTAGTCCAGTTATGGTTATACAATGATTCTCTATCTCAAAAATTAATTTATTACTTAAATTATAAAAACTTTTGATAAGTTTACTGGTGCTTGGGAGATTGCTCAGTTAGTAATGTACTTTTCATGTAAGCATGAAAACCTGAGTTTTGGCTCGCTAGCAAGAAAAAAGTTAGACATAGGAGCATGTGTCTGTACCCCCAGTGCTGAGAGATTGTGGAGATAGGCTAATCCTAGCACTTGCTGGCCAGTTTTTCTAGCCAATTAGAGAGCTCTGGGATCAGTGAGAGATCCTGTTTCAAAAAATAAGGAGGTTAGTGGCTAAAGAAGACACTTGGTGTTCCTTTCTAGCCACCATACACAAAAAATTTAAATGAAAAAATTCTTTCTTTACATTTATTTTTTTTGTGTGTGTATATGTGTGCAATGCTATGGCAGGAATGTGGAAATTACATTCTATATCTATTTTATTATTTATTATATTTAAGACCCACTCCATTAAGGAACCATACCTGACACTGCTAAAGTGGCCAAGAGCCTGAGACTAGATAAATCATGAGCCCAGAGGAAAAACTAATACTGTTATTCTTCTAAAGGAACATGGCAATAAAATGAGTTCTAGGGATATACTGATATATGCATCGATCAGTGCATCCCTTGGTCCTCATCAGCAAAGCTCCTTGTTATACTAGATGGCAATTAACACAGAGATCCACAGTTGGACAGTGTGCAGAGAGTGAGAGACTTTGTAGCACTCAGTCCTGAATGGGTTGTTTTCATCAAACATGTGTTAGTTATTGTTCTATGCTGTGAAAAGATACCAAGATCAAGGCAATTTATAAAATAAAGCATTCAATTGAGGACTTGCTTACAGTTTCAGAGGATGAGTCCATGATCGTCACGACAAGCAGCATGGTGGCAGGCAGGCAGACTTGGTGCTGGAACAGCTGAGTTCTTATGTCTTATCCATAAGTAGACAGAGTAAGACTGTATGGGGTTATTCTGTATGAGCCTCTGAAATCTCAAAGCCTACCCCACCACACACCTTCAACTGGTCTTACTCTGTATGAGCCTCTGAAATCTCAAAGCCTACCCCACCACACACCTTCAACAATCCTAATCCTCCCTAAACAGTTTACCAACTGGGAACCAACATTCAGATATATGAGCCTATGGGGACCATTCTCATTGAAGCCACCACAAAACTGAACCTCCCAAGGCTCAGGGATCCATGCAGAAGAGGAGGCAGAAAGATTCTAAGAGCCAGAGATGATAGAGGATTCCAAGGAACCAGTGTCTTCTAGATACAACAGCACTGATGCACATAACTCACAGAGACAGACCCCACATACAAGACCTTCACAAGTTCAAACCAGACAAAATCCAGTAGGGAGGAGGGGAAGTGGACACAAAGTAGATATTTGTAATGAATGCCCTCTGGGAAAGGGAAAATCAGTTTTCTGCAATGGAGTGTCACTGGGTGTACCAACCACACACTACAGGGCACACCCTGTGCCAGGAGTAGCAGACCAACATAACATGGCTTTTGTTTTGTTTTGTCTTAATGTTTTTGTTTGTTTTTACCTTTGTCCTTTTGTTTGTTTGTTTGTCTTATGGGTTTGGGGGAGAAAGAAAAAGCATGCAGTAGGGAAGGAGGTGGGAAGATCTGGGAGGAGTTGGGGGAGGGGAGCTGGAGTTACAAATGGGTTATGCCACATGGGTGCTGGTAATTGAACTTGGGTCCTCTGAAAGAGCAGCCAGCCAGTGCTTTTAACTACTGAGCCATCTCTCCAGAGCCACCTCTCCTTTAAAATCACATTTTCCTTTCTAGTTTCCAAATTATACTGCTCACTAAGGGTGTTTTCTTTTCATAAACACAACAAACTTTATCAAATAGGATATATATCTGTCTAACTCTAAGTAATGACCAATTAACTAGAAGGAAGCTTTCGTCTGGTGATGGCTAAAGAAAAGGTTTTAGCAGGACTGAATTCTTGTGTGTGTCTCCCTTGGCATTATTTTTTATGTTCTTCAGTTATTCTTTGTTCACAAGGTAGCAATTTTTTTTTCCTTTTGCCATTCTAGTTGCCTATGGAGTCCCACCTGCAGGACACGGAGCCCCACCTCCCAGATATGATGTCCTGCCTCCTGGATATGGATCCAGGATATATGGATCCCCTCCTCCATATGCAGCTACCCCTGTGGGCTATGGAGTCCTGCCTCCTGAATATGAAGCCCCTAACATGGAGTACGGAGCCCCACCTCCCAGTTACGGAGTCCCACCTCCCAGTTACGGAGTCCCGCCTCCCAGTTATGGAGTCCCACCTCCCAGTTATGGAGTCCCGCCTCCCAGTTATGGAGTCCCGCCTCCCAGTTATGGAGTCCCACCTCCCAGTTATGGAACAACAGCTGTGGTGTCTGGATCTCCACCTCCCGGATATGAAGTCCAGCCTATGAGTTACGAGACTCCTCCTTCAGGATATGGGTCCGTCCCTTCAAGATCCAGAGCCCCGACTACAGCACAGGAAGCTCCACCTGCTGGGTCTGAATCAGGGCATCCCGTTTCTGTGGCAGTCCAGACTCCTGGATTCCAGGAATCTTTTCCCTCTACCTCATCTTCACAAGCTCATCCTTCTACATCTAAGATGTAAACCCTGAAGTTTCACCAAGCAAAACTGCACACTAGCTTTGAAGTCTAGAAAGAATAGTTAGGCTTATGATCCCAGCCTCATCCTAGGTAGTTGCTCCCCCACCTCTGAAGTTCAGTCATAGGACAGAACTAAGCTTTATCTCCGTGCCTTGATTTTAGAAGTAGTGTCAACTCTTGATTAGCTGGATAAAGGAGTAACACCAGAGGGCTAATTCCCTAATGACTTGGTTGACATTGGATGCATTTAAAACATACCTTGATGTGAGCTTGCAAAAAGCCTCCTGCCTTTCTCATCTGCATTAGAAAACCTTTATAATACTCTATTTGGTAGATAATAAGATCTGCTAAAATGTCATGCTAAATGTTGAGAGCTGGACCTGGTGATGCAGGCCTAAAACCACAGCTGCCAGAGAGGATAAGACAGAAGGATGGCAAGTTTAAGGCTTGCTTGGACTTTAGAGCCAAAGCCAGCCTGGACAGCCTAGTGAGAACCTGTTTCAAAGGCTATTAAAAGGTCCAGGGATAGAGCTCAGTTGTAGTATGCTTGCCTTGTATGCTGATGGTCCTAGGGTTAATTCCTAGTACCAAAGTTAAATGATTAACTGAAATGCAAGTGCCAGGCAGGCATGGGTGCACATGCCTATAATCCTAGCACCTGAGAGGAAGAGGCAGGAGGTTTAGAAGTTCAGGATCATCTCTGGCTACGTAGGGAGTTAAATGTCAGCCCGGGCTACACTAGAACCCGTCTCAAAAACAAAATCAAAACCTCATCACACTGAACATAGTTGTTTCTCACGGTATTCTTTACATTAGAGAAAGAATGGGACAACCTTAATTTCTGGTGAAAGGGGATCTTCCAAATTATAGCATTTACATACAATAGAAGAGTATGTAGAGATTATTGAGAAGGCACCCTTTAAGACCAAAGCAAAGCAATAAGGGAAAAAAAATCACAGGTCTGAAGCAACATGCAATGTCTTGCACGTGCATTCAAAGTCTACAGTCAGAGTATGCAAAGAGCTAGAAGAAGAAGAAGCAGGGATCAGGGGAGATGGCTCAGCTGGTCACATGCTTTTCACAGGTGTGAGGGCCTGACTTTGATCATTAGCACACTCATAAGAAGCACACACCTGTAACTCCAGTTCTGGAGGTAGGGTCTCTACAAGATCCCTGGGGCTTGCTGGCCAGCAGTCAGGCTGAATCAGTGAACCCCAGGGTGAGAGACTATTTCAAATAAGATGGAGAACAATTGAGGAATACACCCAACATTGACCTCTGACCTCTTCATGCATGGGCGTGCATGAAGAGCTGTGCAGGTCTGTACATACAATGTTTTAACTTTAAAAGGAAATGTATAAAATATGTGACTTTCCAATTAACAACTGAAGCAATAACAACTATGCCAGTAGCATGACAAAATACTTAATGGATGTGCAACTCAAATAGTAGGGAGAGTTGACTGAAATAAAACATTTGCAAATATTGAATGGGTTTGTCTCTGCACTACTGAGCATTGAGCACAGGGTTGTGCACACACCAGCAAGTGTTCTACCACTGAGATGCCTTCTCTACCCCTATTAGAATCTTTGCTGTAGCAGATTCATATCCTAGCGTCTACCCCTAAGGGATACTTGCACATGCCCACAAAGATGTTTACGGGAAGGCTCTGTTGTGTTCTTTGTTTCCAAAAGCACAAAATTAGAAATAACATGATAGTTAATTTCTATTGTCAACTTGATCAGATTAAGAAACACCTGGGCATGACTGGAACACACCCTTGGGTGTGTCTGTGAGGGTGTTTCCAGAGGTATAATTGAGAAAAATCACTCTGAATGTGGTCAACACTGTCCCATGTACTGGGGTCCTCAACAAATAGAAAGGGCATAAAGGAGAAAGGGCAGGTGGACATTGCCATGCCCCTTCCTCTGCTTCCTGGTCAGTGCTGTGGATCAGTCACACCCACCACAGGTTTGTATTCCTTTGAGCTGTGAGCCCCAAACACCCTTTCTCCTTGAAGTTGCTGTGTGTCCATTATTTGGTCACAGTAGTGAGAAGAAGAGTTAACAAAACACATGCCCATTAAATGAAGTCTAGAAACTGGCACACTCATGCCATGTACATATACTAACTATTTCTAAGACTTAAATTAGGAAAGCAGGTTGTGGGAGTCTTCAACTCCATCAGAATGAAACCCTTTAATAACACATATGTAGCAAATATATTTTAAACTGTGTACAGTGGTAGACACCTTTAATCCTAATGGTGACTCAGGATCAATTCAAGGCCTGTCTGGGCTACACAGTGAGACTTTCTCAAGGAAACAAAAATATATTACGTGTAATATTTTGTAA